TTTCTCATTATATTAAGAATGGAAAGTAGTTTACTCACTTATATGATTCACTCACTTATTGATTACATTAAAATAAATAACTTATATAAGATAAAAATTCAAATATAATAATGTTATAAAAGTTATAATATTAAAGAAACTTTTTAATAAAATAAAATCTATAATTATTTAATAGTAATAATTAATGACTATCAACTTGATATTTTTTAATAAGAGTATTAAAAAATTTAATTTATTTAAATTCAATCTTATTATTAATAAAGCTAATGTTAGATATAATGATAATATAATCATTAGATAGATTAAAATATATATATCATTTTTCTAAATAAATCTTTAATTTTATTATAATTAATAACTTCAATACTATACTATTTTCACTATTATATTTTATTACTATTATTAATTTGTAAAAATATGATAATTATATAACAAAATTGATATCTTGATAAATATTTATTATTTATTATTTATATTTTTTTCTTTCTTAAAATTTAATCTTATTAAAATTATAAATATTATTAATATAAAACTTATATTAATTAAAGATAATTTATAGTAGTCAAATCAGTTAATAATAAAACTTATATCTTTATTTGATATTTATTTTAAATTTATAGATTTTTACTTAATTTTCTTATAATCTAATAGATATTTAGTAAATCAATACACTTACATCTTGCTTATAGTAGAAGAAGAAGTGTTAAATTAATATGATAACAATTTAGCATTTGATTCACAGTGACTTTGATATATTCATTTGTAGAGAAGTAAAAGTTTCTATTCAATTAATGAATTTACTTTTTGATTACTTTCTTCTAACTATCACTTAATGTTTAATTAATTAAAATTTTTATATTTTATGATATTTATTTCTTAATATATTTATATAAAATTCTATATAAAATTTTAAATTTTTATACTATATCTGTGATTTTTAATTTTGAATTTGATTTTATAATATCTAATATCATTTGAATCTAATCTTCTGAATATTTAATAATATTAAATATAATAATAGTAGTTATTAATTTTTGAAGATTAATGATGAATATATAAGAAATAGATTTTCATTATAGTGATATTTTTTTTTATAATAGAACGTACTTATTAATGAAAGGTAGTAACTGTGTATAATATAGTATAAGAAGTCTTGACATCATAACTTACTTTTTTAGCTTAAACTAGCTGAGAAAAATCATTATTTGTATATTTAAATCTAAGTTCAAGTAGATGTAATATAATCAAATAATTGAGTCTGCAATAGTAACTTAATATATAATTTGACTTTGATTAAAAAAAGTCAGATATTAAATTTCAAAGTTTGATCAGTGAATTTTTTAAAGTCTGATAAAAAGAGTTTCAGATAAATCAAAAGTTATTCAAGAATATTTATAAAGATTAATATTCAATCTAATATAATCAATCACCTAGCAAGACAGATCATCTACTGATACAGATCTTCACTATGTGATGTGTTTAACTACTTAATTGATCAAATATCAAAATGTTAGCAATTAAAGATGATAATTCTTTATACAAGAAAAGAGAACTTACTCTAGCTATTGAAGTAGTTAAAAAAAATTAAATTTCTAGTTCTAAAGCTACCGTCAGATTGTACAACATCTCTCATTTCACTCTTTGTCATTGACTTTACAGCTGTACAATACAAGAAAACTCTTAGTTAAGAAATTAAAAACTAATCTTTATTGAGAAATTATCTTTTGTTCAATGAATAATCTTTATGAATGAATATGATCAGCCTCTCTGAGTGAGTACTATATGAGAAATAGTCAATTTTCTTCTTGCTAATTGAGACAACTCTTTCAATTCAAAAACTGTTGATGAAAGCTGAATTAAATAATTTATTGACTGCTATTCTGAGTTAAAAACTCAGTTCTTCTGATTGTATGATCATCAACAAGTTCTATATGAAGATTTTAAAATTATTCAAGAATAGTTTGAGTTTATACAGAATACTATTCAGAAATATAGTATTGTATAGAAGAATATATACAACTTGATGAGACTGAGTTTCAAATGAGAGAGTTATTGAAACAGTTAAAATGATTACTGAGTCAGAGAAGACTATTTATTCAAAGCTTATATAGTCTAAGAATACAGAATGAGTCATTATTATTGAAAAAGTTAATTTAGCAGACTGATTATTATTTTCAATAATCATTTTTAAGGAAAAGTTATATCAGACTTCTTGATTTGAAAATGGGCTACCATATAACTAGAGGATTGAAATCAGTGAAAATGAATGAACAACTGATAAGCTGGGATTGATCTGACTTAAAGAGATATTCAATAAATATACTCAAGTTTGTATGATCAGTCAATATTGACTCTTGATTCTTGATAAATATAGCAGTTATAATGATTCCAAGTTTGATCAGTTTTGTACTTAAAACTTGATTATTTCTCTTTATATGTTAGCTTATTCCTCTCATCTCTTACAGTTTTTAAATATTACTTATTTTTCTTCATTAAAACAAGCATACAGAAAAGAGATTGAGAAGAGAATAAGACTTGACATCAATTATATTGATAAGAATGAGTTTTTAACTATTTATTCTTTAGTTTGTACAGCAGCTTTGAGTAAAAAGAATATTCAAAGTGGATTTAAAGCTATAGAACTAGCTCTGTATGATTCAGAGCAGGTTCTCTCCTAGCTTAATATCTAGATACATATATCAATCTCTTCAAAGACCTTATATAGCTTCCAGGCCTTCTGAGCCACTGCCACATCTCATAATATATGACAACTGAAGCTTCAGAGTGAGAAGATTAAGAAATATCTCAAGCACTGTATACAGAGTCTACTCAGTTCAATCAATCAAGCTCTGGAACAGCTAGTCAAGAAATATCAGATGACTATGCATAGTGCTGTTATTTTTACAAGAGAAAACAAAGAGCTGAAGGCTGTAAATGCAAAGTAAGAGAGAAAGTGAGAAAGATGCCATATATATATAAGCCAGAAAGAGGGCTTGACTGTTCAAAAAAAAATAAATTACATACAAAGAGGCATTGCAGTGGAAAGAGAGATAATAGAGCAGTTTGATAAGCAATCACAAAAGTGAGCAGCATCACAGTGCAATGAATATGATGTTATAGAATATACTATTTATATATGCTTCCAGCATACAGAGAATAATTTATAATATAATTAGCTGGTTTTACTATCTAGTTATGATGATATTCAATTAGAAAGATATTGAATGATGAAGATTTGTCTCAGTAGATAATCTGTCTCACTAGATGATTGATTATGTTAATTATAATTATATTAATCAATATATCAGAATGAATTTTATTCTTATATATTTAATATGAATAAGATAAAAGTAAAAAGCAAAATAGATCTAGATATTAAATTTAATATATAGTAGATTTAACTAAAAATAAAGTTTAGAATTTTATTATTTTATTTATTGTATTTATTAAATAGATAGTTATTTAATTTTATAAGTCTTTATTATCTAAATTTATATTATATTAATAAGCTTTATAATACTGTAGCAATTGTAATACTTTAAGATATATAAAAATAAAATATTTTTATTTTAATATTATAATATTGAGATAATTTGATTTAAAATTTAGTTAGTTGAAATATAATAATTTTGTAATTTATTTACTTAAGTGATTTATTCACTTAAAAATTATATTATTAAAATTACTTATTAATAAGCTGTTAATTAAGAAGTAATATAAAGTTGATAAAGTAATTGAAGTAAAAATTCAATATGCTCTTAAAAAGAAGCAGTATGCTCAGAATATAGCTAAGTATGAAGCTTTAAGACTTGAACTAAGTAGAAGAAAAATAAGACAAAGCAGAAGATTATAAAGAAGTGAAAAACTATTGAACAAAACTGCTCATTCTTTAAATATTAGCAGAATCAGACTTCTTTCACTAAATCTCATTCTTCTATTTCTATACAAACCTTCTTATCAGAAAATGTAGTGGATTCAACTTTCACTGATCTTTCTAATACTTTTTTATCAAATGTTCTATCTCAATCATATTTTCATCAATAGGCTGTATTATCAAGCCCAACACTTGTTATTTTTTTTAATTATTCTCATATCTATACTCTTAGGAACTACATTCTTTAATATTTAATAGCTAATACAATTTACTATTCATGGTTGATGAGAAATTCATTGAACTAGTAGGAAGAGCGATTTTGTAGTCGAGTGGTTGGAATGCGTTTCCCATCAATTGGCCAAAACCGGACAAGGGCCAACCTTATTCCAACCTCTTGATGTGCCTTATCCCATCCTAATTAATCTTCAACTTAACAACACGAAGTTATTGTACAGCTCTTCAGCCCTCCAACAAGAGTGTTTTCCATACTCCCCATCGAGACTGGGAAGATAAGTCCAAAGGTACTCCAGACGCAATTACCTGTTCCCTCTGAACTAATAGTGGAGACTGCAAGTCACGTTACCGTCAGATTTCATTATTTTCCTCGCCAACTGCAATCTCCCACTGCTTCCAATTTGCAATATTAGTTTCTTCTTGTGTTGTGGATAGCTTGCTGACATCTCCTCCCCGCAAAGCCATAGCTTAATCTGACCAAATCGTACATGTTGCGGGAGCTGGCAGACAGGTGGGCTCGGAAACGATACTTTGGTTGAAGGGTTTTTTTGGGTTGGAAAGAAACGAGACCACAGGCGGAACGCAGAATTTTTTTCTTCTTTTTTTTGGGGGGGGACTGGGTAATTTGGTTTGGAGATATATTAGGTGTTCATCTTATTCCTGTTGAGAGCCTGCTCATACGGTTTGTGTTTTCAGTTCTCCATCGTGATTTAAAGATTCTGAATGGATGGAGAGTTTGCTTGTCATTAACCAGTGTAACTTTCTCCTCCATGCCGCGAGTTGAGCCCTTTATACGCACAGCCCCCTTTTCCTCCCTCCCCCCCAACTATCACCACCCCCATGAACACCATTTGCTTATTAATTTGTGTGTACAGCATAGTCTTTTGTCAAAATGCATATCAAAGACAAATTGGCCTACGCTGAAGCCACTGGGCATCCCGGGATTTCCTTCGAATTTTTCCCTCCAAAAACGGCGCAAGGCGTTCAGAACCTTTACGATAGAATGGATCGTATGCATGGCTATGGGCCTTCCTTCATCGATATTACTTGGGGTGCGGGAGGGCGGCTATCAGAGCTGACTTGTGAAATGGTGAATGTCGCGCAATCTGTTTATGGCTTGGAAACGTGTATGCATCTCACTTGCACGGACATGCCAAGCGAAAAAGTTGACGCAGCGCTTCAGAGTGCGTTCAAGGCGGGGTGTACGAACATTTTAGCTCTGCGCGGCGATCCTCCACGGGAGAAAGAGAAGTGGGAGGCTACAGAGGGTGGATTCCGCTACGCGAAAGATCTGGTTAAATATATTCGCGATAAGTATGGGAATCATTTTGACATTGGAGTTGCTGGATATCCCGAAGGCTGTGAAGACCAAGATGACCCGGAACTACTTATGCAGCATCTGAAGGAAAAGGTCGATGCCGGAGGAACATTTATTATCACGCAAATGTTTTATGATGTCGATAATTTTCTAGCATGGGTCAAAAAATGCCGCGACAAGGGGATCAAGGTGCCGATTATTCCAGGTATTATGCCAATTCATACCTATGCCGCGTTCATCAGAAGGTCAAACTGGACGAAAATACAAATCCCTCCTGGTTGGTTGGAAGCATTGGAACCCGTGAAGAATGATGATGCCGCTGTGAGGAATTTGGGCAAATCCCTCGTGGCTAATATGTGTAAGAAGATGCTCGCATCTGGCATTCACCACTTGCATTTGTAAGTTCATATATGGTCCTGTGATCCAACATTCACCGCTCTGGTGTTAATTCCAAATATACAGCTACACGATGAATTTGCAACAAGCAACGAAAATGGTGCTGGACGAATTAGGATTGATCCCTTCACATGAAACCCCCTTGCAGAAGCCGCTCCCATGGCGGCAGTCCCTTGGACTTGGGCGGAGAGAAGAGGATGTACGACCAATCTTTTGGAGACATCGACACCAATCCTACGTTGCACGTACACAAACCTGGGACGAATATCCAAACGGTCGCTGGACCGACTCGCGATCCCCTGCTTTTGGAGAATTGGATACTTACGGCATTGGGCTGAAAGGAACTAACGAGCAAAACATCCAGCTCTGGGGAAAACCGAAATCGCTTAAAGAGTTATCTGAGATTTTCATACGCTTTTTGAATGGTAAACTTGACAGGCTCCCATGGAGCGAGGGAGCTGTTACAGAAGAAACAGATATCATCAAACGCGATTTGCTTGACTTGAATAGCAGGGGCTTCCTGACAATTAACTCTCAACCTGCGATTGACGGTGTGCACTCGTCCCACCCGGTCTACGGTTGGGGTCCCAAAAACGGATATGTTTACCAGAAGGCATACCTGGAACTCCTCATTTCGCCCACACTGATCGAAGATGTCATCCATCGCATTGAACAGAATGCTGATCTCACCTACTACTGCGTCAATAAGACTGGGGAGCTGAGGACCAACACGACCGATAGCCCCAATGCAGTTACATGGGGAATATTCGTTTCCAAAGAGATCATCCAACCCACTATTGTTGAAACTATCAGCTTTTTGGCCTGGAAAGATGAAGCGTATCGTCTGGGAGACGACTGGGCTAAGTGCCACCCTGCATCGAGTCCTAGCAGACGCCTCATTCAACAAGTGATGGACACCTGGTATCTCGTCAATATAGGTAAGGCAGTTTCAATAGAAAACAACATACCGCCCTTTTAAGTTTGAGGATACGCACTAACACACTTGATACTTGAATAGTCAATAATGACTTCCACAGAACTCATGACATCTTCGACCTGTTCAAGAACCTGAAAGTCAAAGATCTGGATCTGGAAGTAGAACCCACCTACCCAGCTGCTGAGTTTGTTGGAAATATTGATCATAACGGTCAATCTCCTGAGAAACTGGCCAATGGCAGTGCAGAGTCCAAGCTACAGACGATCACCCACTAATATTCGACTCTTTTCTTTACTGTGGACAGCCCTGATTATAATACCTTGGACCTGCGATTCAACAACCGCGTTCCATCCTTTCATGATTCTTTTCATAATCTCTGTCCATAATCAACAATTTGCCCGAAAGGTCTAACTTAACACACCTCCTCCATCCTCCATCCTCGAAATTCAACATAATGCGTCAACGTTATCCCACGTACAACACATAATATCGGGTGCAAGAAGTATGAACGAGATGATCCCGCGCTAAACTATATACGAGAATAAAACTTTCTCAGCACAGCAAGTATTTTAATTTCAGGTTAGCGCTAGTGGCGGGGTGTCTTGAAACTTGTTGCCTTCTCATTTTACCAACGCAGGCACGCCCACTTTTCAACATGACCTTCAATATCAACCGATGAAATAAAACATAACATCCAACAACACTGTGGAGATACAGTGGCCTACGGCCTTTTTTTTTAATTTTTTTTAATTTTTATTTTTTTTATATCTATATATTTTCAACAATACCCCGAAAGCGAGGCGAACTAGGATGGGAAATGGAAAGTATGAAATTACGACCCGCAACGATGACAAAAAAATTATCAGCGTACTTACCTAAAAATGTATTCAACACACATGGGAGTTAGATAAGATATAAAGAAAGATTCTATTTTCTTTCTCCGTATCATCCTACTTTTTTATTCCGCCTTATTTCCACTCGTCTTAAAGCTCGGAGCGTAGTTTCTTTTGTAGGGTTTGCTAGCCAACTACCTTCTAACCACCTTTTTATCTACACTCACATATACCCCTCTCTAGTTTCCACTGGCATTCTATAACATGTTGCATATCATGCATATATCCCCGGATTCATTCTTTACATCTCCTCTCATGCTCCGTGCCAACCAACACTTTTAACTACCTACAGACATTGACAATAATTCCTCTCACATGCGAATCCAAAAAACCACTCCAAAATTCGTGTATGTATTCCCTCCTAGCTTGTACCCTGTAGAGGGTTTCACGATTTCTATTGCTTGTAGACCCAGAGAGAGCACATTTTGTCTCCCATGCTGCCAGAATGATGTGATGTGATTGATTGGTAGGTAACAATGGCAATGGACGTTTCAACATCCTGAATGATCATCAAGCCAGGTTCTATAAGAATATTTCAACAGATCTGTGACATCCAAACCAGCTTGAAGTTGGGGTTCGACAGAAATAGGAGGTGGCCTAATGGCAAAAGAAAAATGGATATCAAGCGTGGGTTCCGTCCGATCTAGTGACATAATTTCACAGCAAACCCCAAACCCTTATCGGCCAAGCCAGCCATGAGGCGACTGTAGCCAAGAGGCCCAATCCCCTGGCCAAAATAGTGAACACGACCACCATTATTGCAAAATAAACAAATGCTCGTCCAAAATCTATGATCAGGACGCCAATATCATCAACGCTTTGAGGTATCTCCGGGAAAACGCCAGTTTTTGAGAATTCATGAAAGCAATTGCAAACACGCATGGTGGTTTTGAGGCAATGCAAAGCCATGTTGAGAAACTGTACAGCTGTTAGACGTATAAAATTGATAGTATGGTGATCACTAACAACATAGTAAAGAAAGTGGAATGTAGACGCGACGGCGTCGAGGGTGGGCTCAAACTGATTGCAAAATACGCTCTCATTATATCCAGTCTTCGTCTCTGGAGGCGCGATCTCTCCTGCATCAGATTGACTACATCGATTGCTAAGAATGCGTATATTTTCAAAGCCCTGTTCCATCATTTTGCTCGAAATTTCTCCGTTTTGGAACCTAGAGGTTCTATCCCTTGGCCAAGTCCCATTTAGGTGTATAGGGGAAAGAACAAGGCTCGTGGAAATTGGAGGTATGTTTGGGTCGTCAGTTCTCATTCCAGTATTCAAACGCCCGCGCTGGTCATGAAAACCACAATCCCTGATGAGTTGTACACTGTGAGGGTCACTTAGCGCTTCTGAGATAGGGATGCTCCCATGCATATTTCGTGCGAGATTTAGAGGGATATTTCTTGGGACGTTGTTGATGTCTTCTTCCTCTGCGCTTCCGTTTAGGGCACTGGTGCCTTTTCTCAAAGCTTCGGACAAAAGGGGGGATTGTTGCTGGTTCCAACAAATCCCAGAGTGAATGGGACATAACTTTTCGTGCGTGGCTCCGGGGCTTAACGGGAGGGGACCGATTGCTAGGGGGGAATTGGTGGATGTAGTACTTGTGGTTGTGGACGTGGGTATCATAGTGGTAATGATTGTGGACGACTGCTTCCCTTGTTCTGGTAATTTGAGATGCGTGCTGCAACTCAGAAATTCCGATATCTCTTGATCTCGGGTTAACATATCTTCTTTTGTGGTGTGTTTCCAAACCTTTCTCAGGAGGGCACCTAAAAGTTGGCGGCCGTGTAGAATCTCTGCCTTTGTTAGGGTATATGCCGGAGGGGCCTTCCCTGTGATTCCTCCCTCGTCTGTACTGAGATTTGGTGGGGTTACTTGGTAGGCTCTGAACTTCTTGACTGGGAACTCGTATGCGATCATCCAGGGAGATGAGGGGCAGTGGGGACAGATCTCTGTCTGGAACCATGATACCTGACTTCGATCCTGGCCCAATACCCCTCCTTGGTCTAAAAAAGGATCTTGGTTTAAACCATGCGTGTGTCGTGGAGATGAAATGGCTTGGACTTCGTTATTCACCACTTCGCTTTCACTAAATTTGTTTCGAGGCCCTAGAACGGCAGGTCCTAGGAGGTCATTGCTTAGTGTAACCTTGATGTTAGAGTCTAGGTGATTTGATTCACGCGCTATATCGTTGTCTTTATCCTGTTCTAGGCGTCGTTTGCTAAAAGAGGCTGGTGGAAAAGATGCGGCACCTCTTTTTCGTCCTAGAAGCTTCTCTCGAATGTTTCTTGATAATCGCCTTGGAGGAGTGCTAAGACCTGTAGGAGTGACAGATCTGGGAGTTGGAATGGTGTCCGGATCAAGCATTTGACCGCCTTCACGGTGGACACGCTCAATAGCCTTCTGGAAGTCCACAATTTGTTGCGTGGTCATCTCCAATGATGAGGGCTCTTTGGAGGAGGTGGTATTGACACCAACCTTGTCTTCAAACTTGGTCGGATGAATGTTCGATTTTCTTAGAGGAGAATGTAAAGCAGGAGGCTCGACTTTGTGTCCCTGCAAATTGGGAAACTTGGGCTGGGCAATTTCATTTGCTGGCGGCGAAGGAAACGGAGTTTTCTCATTGGGGTCCAAGCTTATCCACCCGTTGCCCTTCAGGCGCCATTTCGGAGTAGCATTATCCTCCTGGGAGTCATGGGAGCTCGAATGGCTCCCAACGCTCATAATACTGGGACTTACAACACCAGTTCTAGGATTAGCTCCGCGAGCAGTTAACTGATCGTCACGGCTGACAGTACGTTGATGGCTGCTGTTACCTTGCTCCTTTCTGCCGCTTTTGGTAACATGTTGTTCCTCTCGATATTGCGCGTTTTCTTCCAGCCGACGTCGTAGACTAGACCAATATTCACGGTTCGCAGCCTCTTGGCCAGGAGTAGGTGGCTCGTTCCAACTTCCAGGGGGCGGCGCAGGACGGTTGGCAAAGTCAAACCGGCTCACTGAATCTGGATCACATTTGTGTTCCTCGTTTTGTGCTTGTTGAGGAAAGATACCGGACACCGGTCCTCGTTTAGACACTTTCTGCCTTCTTACTGTTCCCGAGGCGCTACCCAAATCCTCGTCAAGGTCCACTCCAATGTCATCCTCAAACGTGACGGATTTCTTGTCCTTTCGCTTTCTCCATTTTCGAAAACTTCCCCTTTTCTCCTCTGGCTCCTTTTGCTCGGATGAGGACACAATGTTTGGGTTGGTTTGTCGCCCTAGACTGCTGGATCTGGTCGGAGAAACCTTATCACTAGGGTGGCGAAGTAACGGAGGGGGTACCCAAGCCGACCATGATGATGATCGTTGGCTCTTCCTTCGAGTGCCGTCTTCGCGACGATTAAGAACAGCTGGCTTAGTGGAAGTAACAGAACTTGATGAGAATTCGGGAACAAAGGTTTGCATGTTTGCATGTCGGTTCGGTTCGGCCAAACGGTTGCCTTGAAAATAACCTGGTATATCTCCACTCCACTCCGGGACCACAGAATAAGAAAGAGAAAAAGTGAATGGATGAATGGATGGATGGAATAAATGAATGAATGAATATGTGGTGGGTATATGCGCTATGGAGCTGAAGTTGGAGTTGGGAGGTCGATGTGAGCCACAGAAAGAGATGCAATTCACAATGGAATAACCCAAACCAGGAAGTACCAAATATCAAAGTATCGCTTGCTGATTTCAGGCAATTTCAGGCCGACCTCAGGACAGAGCCAAATGTGATATAAGAAGCAGCGATGGTGCAATCAAACCTTCAACGTGCAAAACAAAACAAAAAAAAAGGGGGGGGGGGGAGGGTTCAAGTAAGATGGAAAGTGATATCAATGAGAGATGAGCGTCCAAAAGACAGCAAGGTATTGAGCCCTTAACAATTGCATTCTGGCAATAATAGACGCCAATCAGTTTCTTCTTGCTTTAAGAAGGATACAATAGCATTGCAAGAAAGCCATCTATGCCAGCTCATTCCAGGGTATAGGAGCTATTGGCAAAACAAACTGGATGGAGAATGAGGAGGAAAGGGGGGGAAAGCAAGAATGGAATTGTCTTGAATTAGCCTTCGGCCCGATGTATACATTGCAATTCTGAGTTGAAAGACAAATAAAAGGAGGATATATAAGACGCAATGGAGGGAAAGAATAATAAAAACATAAATACATGACAGAATATAGAGGCTAGAAAACGACAATAAAAAGAAAAGAAAAAAAGAAAAAAGGATAACAAACTAACACGCGAAAAGTGACCAAGTCATACCCAAAGTAATCGCAAGCTCCCGCAAAAATGATGCCATACATACATATAAAGTGATGGGAAACAAGGTTTCAAACGAACGCATTTTCTGTTAGAACAACCCAGGGTCACGTCGAAGTCCACGAGGAGTATTTGCAAGATGACTCAACCTCCCTGAGAGCCCTACTCCGCCAGGCACGCTTGATCGTTTTAAAGGGTTCAATAGGCGCTTTGCCGGGGTGTAAAGTCGATCCCGTTTGTCGAGCTCTTCGGCATTAATTGCCCCTCTCTGGTCAAAATGTGACGATGCTGATTTCCTCAGAGGGGAGTTCGCGTGAGAGTACACGCCGAGGCTTCCGCCATCAGCTGTAGAAGATACGGATCTAAAGTGCGGCTGGCGGATGGCTGGGCTGCGTGCATGAAGAGGGGTTGAGTTCTCTATATAGTGGCTAGGGGTGGGACGATCAGTGCCAGATGAATTGACGCGGGGAGTTGAAATAGAAGATCGACTGCGCTGGCGATACGGCTTCGAAGCGCCCTCCGGGTCTATGTGTTTAATGTAATTAGGATTCGGGCTGATTTTGAAGCTTTGGCGCATCGACGTAGGGGTATATGTTTTCACAGTGTTGTAAGCCTCGTCTAAATTTGGGTTGTAGGACATTTCTTCGGAGTGTTGAGTTGCAACGCTGCGCATAATGGGATGTGTTCGAGGGCGGACAAATTTTGTGTCATATTCGTTCAACACTTCTTTGTGGACTAATCTCGAGTCTTTCGCCTGCTGCGCAAAGGATGCTGATAGCATCGACATTTGCACAGTTAAGAGCAACGCGAGGAATAGGGTCGTGACAATCGTAACACTAGGTCGCGGGTCTGCTGGGGAGGTGGGAAGGAAAAGACAATATATCATGACATGGCCTGGACTGAATAGACAGAAGAGTCGAAGAGACAGCGGGCGGGGATCCCACATTCCTATCTCCCAAACGTCCTGCTCTGCGCTCGGATGTGCTCTTGCTTCCGCCGACCCAGTTGACATCATCTTGGATAAAACTCGCAACGGTGGCGAAACCATGGGCGACGAGTTCACTGGTACTCGATGCGCAGACGGCGTGGCCGGAGCGGTATCTATCGATGCTTCGAACAGCCGATAATGGCGTTTGCGCCAGAACGTGTAGAACGCGTTCAAAACAGATGTATATGCTAAGAGGTGAACGACGAAGGAAGCCTATCGCAGCGTTAAAAGATATATCAGCGCGAAGTTCACATATACCAACGCCTACAATAGAGACAGGTATTTTAAGGGGTGAAGGGACTAGATCAACATACAAACCAACTGAACCAACTAGTCCGGACAACTTCTCCAAAGACGTCATCCCCGATCCTGCTGCTGCTGGTACAGCTATTTGCGCGTGCTATGAGGAACACCACATTTAACCCAATCCCCAAGGGGATCGCCCACTCCTTCTCCCATTGCTCCCAGTCACTCGAATCAAGCTCTTCAGACAGCCACAGTAGGAAATCGAGGGGGTTGAGGTACGATTTTATTCGTTCCATGAGCGGCCGGCGTCGAATTAGAGGCGGCATTGTGAGTGGGATATTTCGCAGCAAGCTCTAGACCCTGGTGGTCGGATATATCGTTGCTATCTGAAGCTCATCCAACAGGTTGTTGGCATTGTTGTCGTCGTTAAATGCTCTCTGCCATCTTCAGAAGTTTCGTTTATTGTTGGCTGTCTCGTTTCAGGTAAAGATCTCAAATTAAAGCGAGGGAGCTCCAGTTGTTAAATTTAACGTAAATAGCACTAACTAGTCGATCGGTTTGCCATGAGGATACCAAAGTAAATTAAGCAACAACTAATATAATTCCCAACCGAGTCGGACACTAAATTCAGTATAAACAGAGTATTTCGATTTTAATTGTAATTGTTAACAAACAGAAAAAGAAAATTTCATTAAAAATTAAATTATACTGGGATTTGGGACATTTTCTTCTTGTATGTTCAATAGTTCTGCAGTTACTCACTACATCTCTATGGAGCATATAATCATTGCAACAACAGAAGATTCAGCTTATATAATTAATTGATCCATCAAATGTTCAACAGATAAATCAGAGGGGAGAGCTTCTTCTATTGTAAGATCTTTTTTATATTGAATTTATCTTCTAGAGTTTGTGTAATTTTGCTTCTTCTTCTCATTTAAAGTAAATATATCTTAATATAACTTCTTATAATTAAAGTAGTAATCATCTCATATCTATAAATCTTAAGAACTTTATATAAAATTTTTAAATATTTTATAAAAGTTTATATGATTGATCTTGTTCAAGAAGAGAATTCTTAAAAATATAAAAAGTTCAGAATAACTAAAAGTTACTAAATCAACTAACTATTTAAAAAGTAAATAGAAATATTAAAACTTCTAATTAGCTCAATTAGAAGTAAGTTAATATCAATTGCTTTCAAGTCACTTTGAATGTTATAAAAGTATAAAAATCTTTTTTCTTATAGTAAAATAAATAACTATTTAAAAGTTCTGTTTTTTGAATAATATTAAACTTAAGTTATATTTACTATTCAATTAAATTTTTAATTATATAATTATTTTAAAATAGTAAAATATTTATATTTAAAAATTAAAATAAATATAGTAAATAAAGTAATATATTAAAAAAATTATTATTTTTAATATAAAATTAATTAAAATTAAAGATAAAATAATTTTTATAATTATTTAAAATAAGTAAAATTAAATAATTCTTTTATATATTTATAATTCAAATAAATATTTTTATAAATTATTTAAATTTAATTTTATTTATTATTTAGTTATTAAAGTAAATATTAAAGTTTTAATTATTTAAGAATATATTAAATTAATTTTCTTAAGTAGTTTAACTTTTAAAAATAATTTATAAAAATAAATTTTAATTAAATATATTTATTAACTAAATAATATAATTAGATTAAAATAATATTAATTTAGTAGTTTTAAAGTTATTTTATATATTTTAACTTTAAAAACTTTTATATAAATTATAGAATAGATTTTTATAAAATTGATTTTTTAAATAATATTAATTTTAAATTATATTTACTACTTGATTAAATTATTATATATTTATTTAAAATATTATAAAAATATTAATATCTAAAAACTAGATAAATATAATAAATATAATAATATATAAAGTATAATAATTTTATTATTTTTATAAATTTAATTAAATTTTAATATAAAATAATTATTTTATTTATTTAAAATAAAAAGAATAAAATTGTTAATCTAATATAACTTTACTATAAAAACAAAAAATTTAATAAATTATTTAATTTTTTTATTTAAAATTTCATTATTAATATTAATATTCTAAATTTAATTATTTAATAAATATTTAAATTAGATTTCTTATACTCTTTACTCTTTTAGAATAATATATAATTATAATACTTATTCAGAGATATTCATTGTCTTAATCACAATCTCTTTTTTATAATTTTCTAACTATATAAGCTTAGTTTAATTATTTGTGCTCACTACTAGTAATAATTTTAATAGTGATGTAAAGTTATGTTATAAAATCAGTTTTATCAAAGTTGTATATAATTTTTAGTTAATGAAACTTCATTCTTAGTAATTATATATCTCAAAGTTTTAAATTGATTTTGAATAATTTTTATATTCTCATACTTAGTTTGATTATGATTATAGTAATGTGAAATAGTAGCATTGAAGCTTTGTACAGTGTTTAATCAGCTTGTAAACTCTGTTCTTGCCCATGTATTGAGGAGTAGTTATGAAATGCTATAGAAAAAGAAGATAAATAGTCATATTCTTTACAAATGCCAGCTAGGAAAAGTAATCCTCATTTAATCAAATCAAGAATTCACTGGACTAGTTAGCTGATTCTCTTTAAGCTAAGTCAATTTAATTGAATTTGTATGTAAATTTACTCTTGCAGTTCAATCATTAAATCTATGTCTAAGAGTAAAATGAGACACTTCAAAAAGATGTGCAGCTTTAGAAATTGTTGATATTTCTTTCTTTTTAATAGCATTTATTGTGAGTTCAAGTCTTCCCTTCATTTCTATGGAGTTTCTAGAATTCTTATTGCGAATTTGTGGCATAATTACGCGTTGAGGTTGGATGAGATGCTAAATTAAAGTTATTTTGAATTGGCTGTTCAGTGGATGCTCACTCGGAGTGGATTATGTTAACTAATTAGTTAATGCAGAGCTTCCAAGCCTCGATTTAAGCAACCATCTCCAATACATCCAAGCACCTGAGAGCGCCTTTCGAAGACCAGCTTTTCTTCTTTTATCCGTGCGTCCGGGAGACCCTCCAATATTCACACGACACCTGGCGAAATCTGTTGAACCCTCATCATTCAATCCTCCCAGCCGCGCTGGGGCCCGAAAGTGTACGGTTACAATGACGACTCCCACAAGTGCATACAAGGTCCGCATTCAGCTCCGCTCCCGCTCATTCCATCACTCTAAGAGCGCATTCTAACCCCATTCCCCATCTTAACTAGGATCGCCAATTTCTCGCCGTCATAGGGGATGAAGAGTGTGTCCCACCATATCTATTCCAGCATATCCAACATACCAGCTAACCCCCGTTTCTCCGTCGTGTCATAGCTCCGTGACAGGCCTTCTACTAGCAGGAATTGGCGTCAGTAACTCATCCATCTTCTCTCTCGATTCAAGGCCACATTCTTTTCTCGAACTCGCCGGGGAACCCCGCCAAAAGTAGTAATGCCATAATGTTTACCAGTGAGCTGACCACGTACTCTTGTCCCTTTAAATAGCACGTAACCGACCCCCCAGACTTACAACGAAACTTCGTCGTCGTCGATGCCAAGACAGAAACCTCCGCCATTGAAAAAGCCTTTCACAATTTCACACAGGAACGGAAAGATATTGGCGTGTTATTAATAAACCAACATGTATTATGCCCTTCGCCAAACCCTCGTCTTTACAGAAGCAGAAGCTCTATCTTCCGCAAACCCCGCTAAACTCCTCTTTTGCGCTCCGTAATATTGACTATCGTATTAAAAAATAACAGATTGCAGAACGCATCCGAAACAGCGTGGATTCGTTCACGGACGCATTCCCCGCCGTTCTGGAAATACCAAGTAAAGACCACCCCTATGACCCGGACAAGGACAGTGTTCTGCGCCGCGTGCGGAGATTGTTTGGGGAGTAATTTATGAAGTTATGTCAGTTGCTCTATGAATAGAGTGGCCGGGGATGGAGTCGTATGTATATTCGAACATGTGGGACTATGAATGAAGGGGCGTTTGGAAACGCCTAGCATCGATATCGTTCGTTGTTCTCGCGACCATCGATGGTTCTCTTTTAGATTAATCACATTGGTGGATGTTGGCAGGTGTGATTGAAATTTATTATTTATACATGCATATAAATGGGGATTGAGAGAACGCATACGGAACTGAGAATTGGAATGCAGATGAGAAACGCTACTTGAGCGCGAGGGGATTCCTTTCCCTTGTTTTCATTTTTTTTTTTTTTCAATTTTTTTTTAACATGTATGCTTATACCCTCTGCTATGTGTATTCGGCAATTGGCTATTTATATCCACTGAAATTCTAGAACTATCTGTACAATTTACCTTTGCTAAGTCAATGAACCTAACTGCAACTGCATTATAAGATCAGATTGTCTTAAATGGAGATACATCCATGACTAGTATGGATGTTGTTGCTATTATATACCTTCAGTTACTATTCTATTACAGAATGATTGAGGAATCGGATTCTCAACTATGATTCATCTTTCAGAACATACTTAGGAAGATTTATGCTGCAATACATATCTGTATTATATACTCACATGCAATCAAGTAGGCAGACCGCAGAAAAGCAGGTGAAGTTATTCAAAACCACGCTCGAATAATTACTCTAGAGGACAAATGAATTGAGAAGAGATCCAGAGTGTCAAATGGAAGAGGAGAAGAATGCCGCAGCCAATAGACTGAGGAAGCAATTGCGAATTCGAACAAACGGCCAAATTAAGGTGAAAGATAACAATGACTGGATGGGGAGAGGGAGGGTACCACCTCTGAGATACCAGCAAAACTACAGAAGAATGACAATTCAAAATTCAAGTACGTGTTAACGCTAAATTTGATAACTGGACGAAAAACAAGAATTAGTCTCTGACTGTGGAGACGGGAGTCTGGGCATGGTACACGGATGGTTAAAGGTAGAGTAGCAAGCAAAAAGTGAACTAATTAAGTTATAACGAGAGTCGGAAGAAATCGCTATAGGAAGATGCGGCAGGGAGATTTCCGGTCCGTAGCAAAAGAGTTACCACCACGAGAAGTAGTCAGCACTGGAATACAAATTTAAAGATGACATGACGCCCTCAATATCCTTTAGGTTGAGGTGAGGCGTGAATCACTCCTGCTGGGGTTTTGGTTGAGCAGGGGCCATATCGGGCCGTTTGCGATGACATTATCGAGATACGTTGCATGGGTGAAATAGGCAGGACAAAACAAGCAGTTGGCGAGACCATAGCCTATAGATAGTACAACAGTGTACGGGATAGTTTATGGTGTTTCGTTTATAGGTTAAACTTGACCTCGGCCTTGAGGCAGGTTATCCGTTCCTTCTCCTCAGTATTCGCATCGGCATAGACAGTGTACGTTCCCTATTTTCCAAATACGTTGGAGTTAACAAACCAAAAGCTGCCGCAGGTTCAAAACAAGTCATTTTGTGGATGAGTAAAGGGAGATCTGTATATTTTGCTTACAGGTGGAATCTCCTTTGGCAGCAAAACCTCCTTGGAAACATTCATGGGTCCCTTCTCCAGAGGACATGACAAATCCACATTTGTGATCTCCGTACACAAATCCTCCTCCTCGTTGATCAATCGTATAAGACCGTATTTCACCTGGAGTTGA